TGCATGCATATTAATTATGACAGCCCTAGTAAAAATACTGTTACTGATCTGTCATAATTTAAAGTCCATTGGGCAAGGCAGATACTAATCAAATAATCTTGCAGGTAAATGAAAAATTATACCGAAGTGTTACCAAGGCTAGGTATAGAGCTATAAAAGGATAAAATAATCAGTAGAGAAACCTGGTCAGAAAGGGAACATCAGGAGAGACATCCCTGTCATGGTGACAGTGGACCAGAGGCACTACAGGGAACCTACAGGCACTACAGAGATAATCTCATGCTATACTTTAAATGACAATTTTATATTAAAGGGGGATGTATCTAACTTTTATGGTATGAGTAGTAGAAAGCCTGACTGCACACTGTGAGGCAGAAGCAAAGACTTGTTTTTTAGGGGAGACCCAGTGTCTTTCCTATTTGGCTTCTGACTGATAATGAAGCCAGAGGGTGCAAATTTTAGCCCTGTGTGTAAAGGTGATATAGGAGAGGTACATTTCGATATTCAATCCCCAATATTATAGGCATTTTCTGGGATCAGAGAAGAAAAGTTGCTTGTCCCATCAGGTCCCTGGCCTTCGCTTCTGCCAGAAGTGAGAGGGAAACATGTCTGGTTCGAAGTAGGAGGGGAGACTATTCAACACAGGCTGGTGGGAAAAACAAATCTATGATGCACTCACATGGGAGCTGCCAGACAGGAATGTTGCAAGTGACCACACCCAGCAGTGCCTCTGGCAGGATTCAGGCTCTCAGACTTTCCCAACAGCCCAGCACATACCCTGCTTTCCAAGTTTCTCTGTGCATGTAATATAAAAAAAAAAGTCTTATATAGCTGTATTAATTATTTAGCTTTTGAATATGATCATTGTTCATCAGCATCATTATAACGAGAACAATCCTGCCTCAGGTTTATATATTTATTCCCATATGTTCAGGCTCCTTTAATTGTCTTATTTATCTTTTTGATGTCTGCTAAATAAAAGCAAGAGTGACTGTTATTACACCAGTTTTTATGGATGCAGGAACCTGAGCGTAGTCTCTCTAGGTGAGTTGCCAAGTTCCTTTTCTGACACAATCCACAGCAGGCTAGACTGCTGACCCCTTCTCCTTACTTTATCTGGAGCTGTATCAAGCTAGTCAGAAATGCAAGCACAAACTGACTGACTGAAAATAATTATCTTGAAAAAAATATTCATAAATATAAATAATGTTAAATCACAAAGTACTAGAAGGAGAGTGTAGCTCAAGCAGTAGAGCACATGCTTAGCATGAATGAGGTCCTGGGTTCAATCCCCAGTACCTCCTCTAAAAATAAATAAACCTAATTATCTCCCCCAGCCTAAATCACAAAGTACTTAGTTGTTTTGTTAAACCTTATCAAAAACTAAACTGATATATGTAACAGTGTAAAAAATGCCACTTGTCAAATTATAATATGATTTGATTCCATGACTTTTTTTATTATGGCAAATAACACTATTAGTGACTGCAACTTTTAACTCCCATAGATAGTATATGCTCTAAATTTCACTAATAAAGCATGTGTACTAGAAACCTGTAAATGTGGTAATACTTAGGTTTTTTCCTCCAAAATTATTGAGTATTTTTGAATTGTAATTATGTATCCCTTCATAAAAAACCAGTGCTTATGGGGGGAAATTGAAGAAATCAGTGTTTTTAGTATCTTAACTTCTTTGTATAGCACTTTGTTTTCTGAATAACAATATTTTTCATAACTGTGTCTATATCTACCTTAAAAGATTTAATGTACATTGGACTCTAACTTGGTATAAACATCAAATATATAAAGAATGTATGGTTTTTATAGTTATGTAATGCTATATTTTTTAATGCAAATATTTTATTTTTCTAGAAAGGTTTAGAAATGAATACATGTGGTTTTTTTTGAAAGAGCCAGCTTTGGTTTACTCAACTTTATAAAAGCTAGAGAATTCCCTGCATATAATTAGAAACTCTACTGTTGAAATCCTACCTTTGTATGTTGGTTTCTATCTTGTTTCTCTGAAATATGGACAGGTAAATTTCAGAAAAGAATTGACTATTTCCACATCAGACCTCAAAAATGATTTTACATTTTTCCTTCAACTTGGGTATGTTCTTTGGAGCTGCCTTGGATACTGTAGAGCAAAAGCAGTTCTAGATTCTTCTTTGTCCCTCTCTCTGCAGTCAAAGCAACCCCACTTTTATCTGTACCTGGAAACATTTCAAATACAAAAGGGTTCGCCTGAAAGCGGCGACATTATTGGAACTGCAGAGCAGAAGTATATCTCCTGGATGTTCCAGACCGTCTGTATGACTTTTCGATCTGCGTGTGAGATATGCCACCAGATTCTGAAATTGATTACTTAAGTTTTGAGGATTATTTTGTAGTGAACACACTTGTGACTAATGAGGATGTCGTGTTGTATTTCAGATGGGCTAGGATTTTTATTTTTATTTTTTCAGCATTTTCTTTTTTTTTAAATTGAGTTATAGTCAGTTTACAATGCTGTGTCAATTTCTGGTGTACAGCACAATTTTTCAGTCATACATGAATATACACATATGCATTTTCATATTAGGAGTTTTAAAAGGAAGGAAGGAAAGAAGGAAAGTGGGGAGGGAGGAGGGGAGGAAGAAAGAAGGACTATTTTAGAACTGCTACACACCATCTCTGTAGATTGCACAGAATTCCCTCTTCAACAGCACTATGTGGAAGATGAAGGGCACTTGAGCCCATACTTGCTGCCAAGCTCTGAGGTGCCAGAAACTATTTCCTGTGAATCCCTATCATAATCCTATGACACTGTGTGTATTAGTTTTATTTTACTAATGAGAAATCTAAAAATCAGAGAGATACTGAAAGAAAGGAATCTTCCAGCTAAGCTGAGATGAAGGCTTTACAATGCTTTCCTATTGCCCACACGGGTCTGTGAGACAGATTTCAGACTGAGAAATCCGGAGGGGTGTTTAGAACAGTAAAAAGTCTTCGGAGGCAAAAGTTAACTTAATGGCAGCCTCCTGGGTTGAGGTACATAGAATGGATATTTAGAGGAATGGTGGTGGTCAAGAAAAGTGCCCAAAGTAGAAAATTTTTAAAGAATTTGAGAAATTGCCAAATTCTTCTTCTCCCTTCATCTAGTCCAACCCTACCATAGCCCTCACCCACCAAATGGAGGAGTGAACAACGACTGGGTGGTTCCAAAGCCACAATCTACCTGTTTCCCTATTTCATGTGAGGCTGGCACTGTGACGCTCTTGAACTCTGGTTTATCTGGACTTCCTCACCACTGGGTTCCCCAAACCCTGCCTAAACTTCATTGCTTTCATATATTTTCATTTCCCAAATCTGTAAGAACTCAAAAAAGTCGTCTTGTGATTTGCCCTGGTGCCATTTGGTTTCTCCTTGTTGTCATTGCTTCACTTGATATTTTCTCAGAGTCTTAGCAAAGTTAAGTTTCTATTATGCTCCTTTTTGCATTGCTAAGAAGGGAAGATCACCTAAATCACATTTTAGTGCAGACTCACTGTTGACTCTTTACAGTAATTACATTCTCAGCAATCAACCATAGTGTCACATTTCAAAAGTCTTGGAATAGTTTTACTTGTTACGATTCAGATTCACTTTTTGGAATCTTATCTAAAAATTAAATCACTTAAATGATAGTATGGTCTTAGAATCTGTCATAGTTAACATTACCTTATCTCTTTGTATCGTTTAAACATACTACAAGTAACAGAGAAAGTGATTAGATTCTGAGTAACTATTTCCTTATAAGACATTGTCATCTGGGAAGAATAATATTTTAGATGTTCCTACTAGTCCACAAGACTTTATTTCTAAATGGAAGTACTGGAGTGATAATGCTTACCAAATTCCAATTTTGTTTTACCTGAAGAAAGTGAATTGTTCTTTTAATTTTTTAATCATCTGTGACTGGTGCCTCAGTTTTTCCCTAAAGTTTGTCATTAAAGCACTTACGTTCAGAGACTATTTTAATCATGTTAGGAACATTTAAAAACTGGAGGTGGGGGAGTGGGAATGGCTCTTAGCAGAGCATCACCTGACATTCAATAAAGATATTTTGAAACATTAATTCCTGCATTGGGGCAGAACCCACTGTGTCATTATGGACGGTGTCTGGAATAACTCTTTCCAGCAGACCTGCAGGTCATCAACAGTAGAGTCCTCTCTTTCACACAAACATCTGCTCAGCTAGCTTAATTTTTTATCTCCTTTTTTTTCCAACTCAAATGGATTTTGTAGGAATTTGTTGTGTGTCACACTTCATCTCACAAACAGAGTGATATATCTTTTAACCAGCAGCAAAGAAGACTATGAGGACATATGAAATAGACTCTATCAAGAAAGGTGCGTTGTAATTATGAATTATTATGATACACTGTGTGCTATAAACATCTGAGCACATTCTAAAGTTGTAAGATATGTATTCCTTGTCTGGTATATGATGCTATCATATACCCTATGACAATAATCCTGTAAATGTATAATGCTTTATTACACTGATTATTACTTTATTGTGGGTGCCTTTTCTATTTGAGAACAAAACAAACAAAATAGATATTTTTATTTCACATAAAATCATAATGTCAAAGTGAATCAATCATACAAAGACATTATTTATAAAACCTCTGACTTGTTCAGATGAATGCATCCCAAATAATAAAAGACTAGTCATGAAAATAACACTCAATTAATATTCTTAGGCCCAAAGAGAATTGACTTGGGTATTTAAAAAGTTAAAATAAAATAATGCTCTGTGTTACATTTCTATATCTGTTGGATTTAGTTTTTGCCAAAAGTATCTATCAGAGGCAACTTGTGCATCTTTTTAGTTTAGTGACTTGGAGTAGGAAGAAAGCGAAAGCAGTGAAAGATGAGAACAACACTGGTAAGAAGTTCTGAAATCTAACAATTAGAAACCTAATAGTTTTTGAAAATCATGCTCAAGGCCAAATTTTTTTCATTGTGAAAGAAACAACTTCAGTCAAGTTTTGTATAGCATTCAAAATATTTCCATGATGTGACAATTTTATTTCATTTTTTATTTTAGTTTTATTTCATTTTTTGGTTGCTGATATGTTTGTTTTTGAATTTTTGATTATATATTGAATCTCAGCAAAGGTCAATCATGAGATTTGGAGAGCCATGTCAAGAGCAATCTGGTTCAGCTAATTTCTGGGATGTTTGCCTATTTGCTAATAGATTATTCAGACACTGAAGTTTAGCCTAATTCCAGTTATGCAAATAGAAATCATTCTTGGCCAAAAAATTACATCCTGATGTCATGTCATACCAGAGGTGAACATTCAAACTACCAATTGTCAAAGAGATTGGAGTCTTTCAACTAAAAATAAGCATTACACATTCCAAGACAGAAAGACAAGCTTGGACATTGAAATACTCAATAGTGGAGGAGCCTCGAAAACACCCTAAACAGCCCACTAAAACAGACTATCATTTCCAGTTTCTTTATTCCTGTCATCACTGCCAGTATTCCACCAGTTAACCAGGCTCATAACATTAAGAGTTAATTCAATCCTTTGCTTGGCGTCCTGAGCAATCAGGCACCTTCCTTTTTCAGCAGTTTCCAAATTGCGAGATCTTTATTACCTCTTTCTAAGGGGATTTTAGTAGGTTAATTGTGTTCCCTGTATATATTCCTTTTCACCAAAGGGAAAAAATTTTGCTTGCTGATGCTACAATGATATTTCTAAAATAGGTAGGTAGGTAGGTAGGTAGGTATAGATAGATAGATAGATAGATAGATAGATAGATAGATAGATAGATAGATAGAGGATAGTGATGGGGTTCAGGGCAGGCCACCCCAAGATGAACCACTCTGGCATGTAGACTGTTTTGAGCTGAAAACAATTCAGGCCCAAAAGACTCAGGAAGAATCTTTGAACATCCTCCTTACTGCCAAGAAGAAATTAAGAAAGGAGGCCTGCACCAGGAAGGACCTATCACCATAGATAACTACAGTGAAGTATGAATTAGACATGGTAGACAGGAAGGAACCTAGCAAAGCCCACTTGATCAAAGTCTTCTCTGTGTCCCATTGTCTTTGGATGGCCCAGCAACATTTATTTACCGAACGTTAACTCTCTTCATCTTCCTGTGAATTGCCTTACTTCCCTTTGAAGTCTCAGAACCCTATCTCTTTCTCCTTGGTCCAGAATAATATATATGTCACTTGACCTTGCTGTCTTTGGAATTCTTCAGACTTATGTGGATGCGATGTACACATGCAGCAAATTTGATTTTCTCTTGTTAATCTGCTTTACGTCATTTTTATTGCCAGTCAAAAGAACTAAGAGGGGAAAGAGGGAAAATTTCCCTTCTTCCACAATAGATTAGAGAGAGAGAGAGATGATAGATGTAGACAGCACACTGTTTGAGACCCTAATAAAGTCCTCGGTCTGGTATTCAGTCCGTTTTCTCTCTCCTAGCCCATGTGTCTGAGATCCTTGTGGTTCTAGCCAGGTAGAGCCCTTTACTCCTCTCTTCCTTTCCTTGCTCTTGCATACCATAGAATGTTCAGGTTCTCTCTACACTTCTAAATTCTAAAATGCTGAGGCTCACATGGAGTTAAACTTCTCTGAAGCCTTCTCCAGAAATTTACACTCAAGTATCTTTTCTGTACTGTCAGCATTTCCAGAACATTTTATGAAATGATCGGTATCCACATACCTGTTTTCTAGTAGTTTCCTGTGTGTAAGTCTAATTAGGGATGAATTGATTCTAGTATTTCTTTTCTATCCCACAAAGCAGAGTTTTTAGAACTGTAGATCAAGGCTTTTTAAGAAATGATAATATTAGAATAGAAAATATCAGAGAATGGTGTCTGGAGTAAGGATGAATATTGATTTGCAGCTCTTTTGTTTCAGATAGATAGATAGACAGACAGACAGACAGACAGACAGATAGATCAAGGGAGACAGATAGACATTTGTATTTTGCATCCCAATGTAAAATGTGTTTTTAACTATGGATCATAGTCATAGTCATAAATTTTTTTTAATTTACCAAAATCACATTTATACTCATGTATATGTGGAGTTATTCATTCATTCACCAACATGTTGAGTACACTAATAACATAAAAAAATAATAAAATGGTCTCTGTCTTGGAGGAACTAGCATTCTCATATGTATACAAACAATTTTAGTAAGATAGTCATAAATTCTAGAATGTAGAGTACAGATAATTCTCTGGGAACATAGAGGAAGTAATAGCATTCCTTACGAGCCTCTTGCTGACTCACATTCTTTATTCATATGGTGAGAAATCAGCATACTAAGCTTTAATTAAAACGTTTTCAAGATGTTAGTCCTACGTCCATTTTCTTCTCTTCTTTTAATGATACATGGTTATTGGCAAATAATGGAGTTATAAAATGATGTGGTGAGGTTGTAAAAATAATAAATTCTTTCAACAAGTTTGAACTGTTTTCAAAATTGGTATTTAGGTTCATGCGTCAGAAAAACTATGTCTATTTAGAGGAAGAAATTGCTGGGGAAAAAAATGGCCTACATAAAGTTCTCCTTTATATGAAATGAGAAAGATTGGTCACAATAAGTCATCTATCTCAGTCTTTTCTTTTATTTTTACAATCGTATGCGAACATACTACAGCATAATATAAAATGCTAACTAACAATAGTGTACATAAGAAATTTCATATTGATAAATATTGATGTCTAAAAACATATCAACAAGTCAAAACTACTTGATAAATATAGCAGATTTAAAATGACTGGAACTATGTTTTAATTTTTCTTTCCCTGAAATGCAATGTACTTTGGGTTGATTGGAGCTACATTAAGTGCCAAAAAAAGAAATATTTTTATAAGAGGATTTAAAAAACACTTGAGAGTCTCTTTGACATAGCAAAAATTAGAATTCCAGTCAGATTAAAAAAGAAAACAGCAGAGTGTCCTTCTGCAAATGTAACCAAAACACGCTACCAATCTTTAAATAGAGTGCTTTTCTTGAAACCTCATTAAACATACCCTGAATGTGTAACCTGTCTGTTCCCTTGGATTCTTAGTACATGCGTTTTGAAAAAAGTGGTATTTATTCTTACCCCAGCTCTAATTAATTTCTGTCATTATTCTTCATCTGGAGTCCATGAAGTTTCTGTATGTTCAGGTTCCAGTTCATAATTTTAAAGTCAAGGATCTTCTCCGGACAGTTACGTGTCTGTGCACACTGTCCCTCTCCACACTGTTGCATCAGCTAGGGCGTGTTTGCTGTGTTGTACTGTGTGAAGCTTTTTGTGCAACATATTTCCAATGGCTAAAATCATGTTATAAAGTCATGGGAAACTGTTTGCTTTATTTTGAGGAATCAAAGTCCAGAGTCCAATCCTCCAAAGTTTATGCCCATATTAGGAGGTTGACTGAGCAACGTAAAAAAAAAAAAAAAAAAGAATTTTCTATTTTATTTAGCTTTCTGAAACGGCTTACAATTTTATTACTTAAAATTATCAATATATCATGTTTATATTAATAATAAGAATAAACCATATAATAATAAAATCTCCAGGTCACTATTTCTTTTAGTAAAAGTCTGGTTTTTTTGCTAAGAAGTCCTTGGGTTTCTCAAAATAAATATTGTGTATGTGTGTGTTTGTGTGTGTGTTATAAATCTATGAGAATTTTTATATCATCTATACAAACTGGTTTTATATTTTGAAAATATCTATTTATTCCCTTGAGAATTTTTCCCTTGAAGGTTATGTAGCATTTTGAAATATAATCAATTTGTCTTAATTCTTATATCTCCTCTGGTGTATGATATATGGTTAATTCATCCAGATCAAGAAATGATAACTAACAATATGTATAAGGGTTTATATTTTTAAAGATTTACCTCATACACTAATTACATTTGATTCTGTTAATAATCATATGAACTAGACATAGTGTAAAATATTTTTGTTGCCAATTTACAAATGAGAAAACTGAAGCCTAAACAGGTGAAGATATTTGCTTAAGAATGTTGACCTAAAAAATAAAACAGTTATTCCACTAGCAAAAATGAATTTGTTTGGAATAGTAGAGAATTGAAATTCAGGACAAGTAAGCTACAACAAAAACCATAGGCAAGTCCAAGAAACAAAGAAGAGGAACATCACTTTATAGAGACAATTTAGAGGGGTTGTTTGGAACAAGCAGAGAAAAGTGAGAGTTCAGAGTGGTGACAGTTTCTCCTTGGCTGAGATGCTGGGGTAGTTGATTTCTTATGGGAGATGCAATGTACATCTTTTCCTATGGAAACCTGAAGTTGATGATTCTTTCCTGATGATTTTTCTGTTGAGTCTTTAATCAGCCATTCTTCCTATAACTGACGTCAAGTGGTCCTACATGAGAGCTCCCCTTTCTGGCCTCCCAACTCCATTGTAGTTAAGTTTCCCTTTATTAATTTTCACAAGGACTAGATAGTCAGAGTTGGAGGTAGGGCATAAATTCATATCGGCTGACTTCAAATTCTATATTTTGCATATAACCTGAATATAAAAAAAAATAGCAAAACCCCCACTGTGTTAGTCAATGTTCTCCAGGGAAACAGAACCAGTAAGAGATACACAGCTACATGTAAAAGGAGATTTATTATAAGACTGGTTCAAGTGGTTGTAGAGGCCTGGAAATCCCAAGATCTGTCATTTCCAAGCTGGAGAACCAGGAAAGCTGGCGGTGCACTTCAGTTTTTGTCTGAAGGCCTGAGAATGGGGAGGGGTGGTCGGTGATGCTATAAGGCCTGGTCTGAGTCAGAAGGCCCAAGAACCAGGAGCACCAATGGGCAGGAGAAGGTGAATGTTTCTATTTAAACAGAGAGAGAAAATTTACCCTTCCTTGACTGTTTTGTTCTAATCAGTCCCTGAGCAGATTGGATGACGCTCCCACATTGGTGATGACAATCTTTGTTACTCAATCTATTGATTTAAATACTAATCTTTTCCTGAGATACCCTTACAGGCACATC